CTGGGGGGGGAACCCGGTGCAAGGCAGGGCAGCCTGCACTGAGCGCATCATCCGGGATTTCAAAACCCTCCATCGCTCTCCCTCTATCCACACAGAGGGGGATCTGTTCACTCAAACACACACGCACACACACACACACACACACACACACACACACACATATATACACACACACACACACACACACACACACACACTCATATACACTTCAAGGCTAAGGAAAAAGCAAGCTGCTTTCAGGGGGACTCTTGTCTATTGTTGTCAGCTCCACCTTTTGATGGAGTCTTTAGGGCACAGTTTGTTAGTTTAAAACGTATTTTATGTTTACGTAGATTGCTGTTATTATTTTACTTTTGCATCACATTTAGAGTGGCCTGGGATGTTTGAAAAGATCAAATTGGCACACATGTCGAAACTACCTACAATGATTAGTCAACAAAACAAACAAAATGGATTATATGACGTTGCCAGCCTCTTAAATATGGAAATGTCCTGCTTTTCTGTTTTATATCATAAAGAAGGAATTTGATGTAATAAAACATTTATATATTTTAGTTTTTGACTGATGAAACAAGAAATGTAAGTCACAAAGGTGGTGTGTATACTGTACCTATGTATGTTCTGACGTTTCATAGAGAAAACAACAAATCAATATACCTAGAAAACAATGACAGACCAATTGATGAGAGAAATTGTGTAATTTACCCCAAATTTCACATTTCGCAAAGGCCCAAAATACTTCCATTAGGAGAAACGCACTGCACTTTGAAAAACCATGCAATTATATAACCCCAAATGTGCCAAAACACATGCATATACACCAGTGGCGAGCCGTGACTTTTATACCTAGGCCCTCTGACCCCCACCTTCCCTCGAAAAAAATAGTTATTACGTCACTACGTATACTTCAGTGGAATATCAAAACAACGGCTTGTGTTTGTTACTTTCGTTGCAGTTGTATATATGTCTTAAGTGTAATTTGGCATGGCTTCCTATTTTCAATGGACATGCTTTTATTTTGAAGGCGAGTTTACGCTGTTGACAGGAAGTTGTTGTTGCTATGGAAACAACGTCACGGAGAAAAGCTTCACAGCGGACGGAACTTGTCATAATGTCCGCGATAATAAAACCCACCCATTTAGAGGGAAGATATGATTGGTCAATTGTACTGTCATTTGACATTACTCTCTCGTTCAGTTACTATAGCGGGCCCTCTGTGAATTTACAGCAGGACCACCAATCAGCTCCTCTATTCACAGTAACTCGCAGAGACAAGGAGCTTCTTTCATTTAACCCTTCACATTCCAACAGAAACTGAATAGGCAGATTTGAAGGATTTATTTCTTTGGAAATGTTATTTTAAATACAATTAAATCAAGTTATTTTGGTAAAACTAATGAAAAACATAACTAAAAAAATATTTAATTTTTTTTTAATGTTTTAAAATATTATTTTGTAGAATATCTTAGGCCCTCAGAGGGCCCTGACGGCTCGCCACTGATATACACCTACTTGACAACACATGAGCAGCATACAGGAAACATTCACTAAAAGTTCAAGGTTCAAGGTTCAAGGTTCAAGGTTCAAGGTTCTTTATTTATTTTATGCGCTGCATACGCAAAAAAAGAATTAAAAAAACACTGCAAGAAGCTCAAAACACAACGGAAACCAGGGGACAAACAAAAGCGATGCACACATCTGGTATGATTGTAGACTTCTTGTAGGGATAAAAAAGTTGTCCGACTGTTACTGTTGGTAAAAAGCTGCCAATACCAGCAGCTGCCTGCAGATTTTGATATGGCTTAATATTTGTATCATTATATAAAACATTAACTTTGACCAGTGGTGTAAAGTAACTGAGTACATGTACTGAAGTACTGTACTTAAGTACAATTTTAGGGGACCTGTACTCTATTTGAGCATTTACATTTTTTGTTACTTTTAACTTCTACCCCACTACAATTCAGAGGTAAATCGTGTACCTTTACTCCACTACATGTATTTAATACCTTTAGTTACTTCACAGATGTGGATGAATGATGTGAAATATAATCAAGTGTTAAATCAGACTTTAGTTCCACCTGGAGTAAATTCACAAGCTACCCTGCAGTATACAAAGTCATTCAAACTAGCTGCACCTTTACCAGCTTTGAGAACACTTTAACGATCAATCATTATAAAACATATCATATATATTATTCTGTAATGGACCAATCTGCACAATCACTACTTTTACTTTGGGTACTTTTAGTAGATTTTGATGGTACTACTTTTGTACTTTTACTTGAGAATATTTTGAAGGCAGAACTTGTAAAAGAGTATTCCTGCTCTTTGGTAGTTCTACTATTAGTTCTACAATCTGAGTACTTCTTCCACCTCTGACTTTGACTTATCGGGAATATCAATAACTATGATATTAACAGTTCTGTTACTTAAATGTTCACCAAAAGCTCAATGCAGCCACCATTGTAATAGAGTGGTAGCAGATATCAATGGAGGAACATTTAAAATCACACCAATAGAAAGCCAAGCGCTCTGAATGGCAAGATCCCAGTGAAGGAAATTCAAATTGTCTTTATGTTTTGTTTTTAGGGATTTTTGTTGAAGTGACCCTGTGATGTTTCAATATATATTCACAAAGAATTAGCAACTGCATTTTGTATCAGGAGCCATCAGTACAGTTAGCCTTGAATCACAGTGTGCTCCTCTCTCCTCCACTCTTTCTCTCCTCCATCCTTTCCTCCTCATGGTCATCAACAGCAAGCAGAAAGAGGTTTCAATTTAAAAAAGAACACAACCTGAGGCCACAACTATTACTGTTACATGTACAATATAATACATCACCCACAGAGCACAGCAAGCACAGCTTTACACAACGCAGACACTAACATTAGTGTGTGAGAGAGAGAGAGAGAGAGAGAGAGAGAGAGAGAGAGAGAGAGACTGCACAAGTGTGTATCCTGTATTGCCTACCTACAGAAGGACACTCTGCTCTTCACACAGTAAACCAGTATTCTGCCTAAAAAGCACATGGCTCCCATCGCATTACACACACACACACACACACACACACACACACACACACACACACACACACACACACACACACACACACACACACACACACACACACACACACACACACACACACACACACACACCACACACACACACACACACACACACACACACACACACACACACACACACACACACACACACACACACACACACACACACACACACACACACACACACACACACACACACACACACACACACACACACACACACACACACACACACACACACACACACACCACACACACACATCCCTTCTGAAACATTCTTTCACAGCACATAGACAGGTATTTATTTCAGCAAACAACATGGAAGCACATGAGAGCGACACAGCAGTGACTCATCACATTCACTGAGCGGATACTAGAGATAAAGAACTATCTTTTACACAGAGCTCGCCGTGACAAAATATATGCAGTGTGTAAAGGTATTCTGATTCTGATTACTTCACAGATCAACCCATTAATACATATATTGACATATAGGTTTAAAGCAGCAGTATATACAGTCATTTGAAACAGCTCCACCTTTACCAGCTGTTATATACGCTGGAAGAACTCAATAATCATAATCCAATGAATTAAAATGGGCCATTATGCATACCATAAGTATATTGTACTGTTACTCTTGGTACTTTAAGTATATTTTGTTGCCAATACTTTTACTTGTAACAGAGTATTCTTTATAATATAGTATTGCTGTTTTACTTAAGTAAAAGATGTGAGTGCTTCTCCCACCACTGAACGGTGGTCCGCTCAGCATGGTGTCAGTAGGGATGTCAGTCTAGGTTCATATGACTTTGCTTGTAATAGCCCAACACACATACTGTATACTGCCTTCATTTCATTTGATATGGGCTTTGCTTAAGGTTAGCAACTTACATACTCAATACTGTGGGCAATCCCCACAGGAGCAATTTGGGTGAAGTGTCTTGCCCAGGGACACAACGACATGCTGACTGCAGTGGGGTTTGAACCTGTGACCCCCTGATCCGAACACCAACGCACAACCCACTGCACCACACGCCTCCCTATAGAACGCTCAATGGTCACTCTCTGCTGATTTCCTTTTTACACTGTTTCATCTGTAGTCTTTGTAAAGGCCTATGATAGATGCTGCAAAAGCATTTTTTGTAATTGTTATTTCAGGTTAATATCTAAAAGTGTGCATCTAGATTGAAACATGCATGAGGGCCTTCATTGTTGATTGCCTTCAAAGATGCTTGTCCTCGCTCTTTTTAGTTGGAAAAGCCTCTCCCTCAGGGGCTCCCAAGCCCCAATCAGGGCCTCCATAAAGGACCTGAGGAAGGCTGCAGTCGCTCTCTCCTTCTCCTCTGGCTGCATGTGTGGAGCATGGTGTCTCTGTCTCTGTGTGAGACCTGTGTTTTGTTCATTATTAGGAGATGTGCTTCAGTGTATATTTGTGTTCTAGTTTATCTTAGTTTACTTTGCAAGTTGGCTGGTGAGCCCTTTTTCTTTTGTCCATTAAAAGACCATCTTGTGGCTTCACAGATCAGTTTCTTCTCCTTTTTCTCTCGCCCGGTCATTTTATATTTTGTTACTTCCCTTTGGTTCCCCTAGCCCAGTAGGGAACGTAACAAAGTCAAGTTTACTGACCTCAGCTGGCTGGAATACACCTCTGGCTGTGAAACTGAATGATCTAACTGTAACTATGTGACTGCTGTTAACTCTGGATCATGGCTCACTCAGGCTTGGTACTGAGACCATAGAATTTACAATGGATTCTTCAGAGCTGTAGAGGCCTAACATCTATCAGATGAGTCCGAAGAGAGATCTCACCCTCCTCCACTGTGTGCTACAACACCGTAGTCAGGAGCCAGGTACATGCTTAACATGTCTTAACAGTGCCTTTGGGACCCCTAGAGGGGATGGAGAGTGGAACAGAAGGGATTTACTCACTGTCCTCTCCAGGGCAGGGCATGCCAGGCCGCTCCGGGATGCTGGGGAACACTGCAAAGACACAATGAACACAAGGAAATCCATGAATGAAATGGTTTCATTAAGTTTATGATCCTTTTCATTCCTCTGATATAATGATGTATGTGCACTTTCTGTTGTGTTTTAAGCTTTCTTAAGTTGTCAACCGTAGCAAATAAGAGTCATTATTACATTAGATTATTTATTTGAAATCAAAGTAAAAGTAGGAGCAAACTCACCGTGCAGCAGTAGACCAGACCTCTTGGTTCGATTGTATATACGTAAAGCCTCCTCCAGCTCCATCTGAGAGGAGATGGTACAAGGGTCCCCTACACACACACACACACACACACACACACACACACACACACACACACACACACACACACACACACACACACACACACACACACACACACACACACACACACCACACACACACACACACACACACACACACACACACACACACACACACACACACACACACACACACACACACACACACACACACACACACACACACACACACACACACACACACACACACACACACACACACACACACACACACACACACACACACACACACACACACACACACACACACACACACACACACACACACACACACACACACACACACACACACACACACACACACACACACACACACACACACACACACACACACACACACTTTTGTTTTTATGAGCCTCTACCAACTGGTCGAGCTGGCCTTTTATGGCAAAAGTGTATTTTCAACACTCATCATACTACTACTGTATACTGCAATACATATTGCAGTATTTGTATGCATGAAACTCAAATAAAACACAAACTCGAATAAAAAAAAATATTTTATGGAAAATGAGCAATACAACCACATATATTCATAAAAGATAATAAATTATAATTGAAAAAAAAAAAGAAAATGGAAAAAAGTAATGTTAAAGGTGGGGTAGGTAATTTTGGAGAAACCAGCTCGAGTGCGCTAGAATTTGAAAATACACAACCGGAGAAATTCTGCCACTGCCTTACAGAGCCCCTCCTCCAACACACACGAACGCGCACATGACCAATGAGGGCATGAGATAAGTTTGTGCACAGATGGAAGGCTGACAGGCAGGTAGGCCATCCAGTTATTTTAGCTGGGCCGGCTAAAATAATTGGTTGTGCTTTTTACAGTACTACGGCTTCCACAGATGAATTTTTTTATGGATTTTTTGTCAAAGCACTTAAAGGCCGCTACACACCCACCTGAGACCAAAGAACGCGTACCGAAGGCGTCCCGACTTTTACGTCAGCTACGTCGCCTGCGTCGGCTACGCCGCCCGCTACGCCGCCCGCCTACGAACACACCGCAAATACTTCAGTCGACGAGTGGCAATAACTGTCCTTACCAGCAGGCAGCGGTAGTGTGAACAGCCAATCAGAGTGATTGCTTGGGCCGACTTTCTCTGGCCTCCCGCGGCCGATTCAACATGTTGAATCGGCCGCGGGAGGTGTGAAAATGTGCCGTAAAGAGACGACGGTGCGGGACACACTAACCTGAGTAGGGCGCCGCGAATGCCCGACTGCCTCTGACTCCCAAAATCGGGTTGGTGTGTAGCCAGCTTAAGATATTCATTGCTATCGGGATGTTAAGAGCATTCCATGGAATATAACAAAAAGTGTATCTCGAGCCGGTTTCTCAAACTTACCTACCCCACCTTTAAGTGTTTTTCATTATAAAAAAAGACTTGCTCATCTTACTGTAGATGCTGAATTGGCCTAACAAGAAACCACTGGCCTAACAGCAAATGTCTATATCCTGTGTTGGCCTAACTTGCTCATCTGTGTGCAACTTTGGGCTGTATACCATGCATGAAAGGTGCTATATATATTATTATCGCTCTTTCACTCTGAGACTCATAAGGCAGTACTAGATTTAGTAATATTACCATGAATCTAGCTATTTATTTACCATATTTTATTGAAAAACATCTCTGAAACTCTGAAAAAGTCATATTGCTAGTTTACCATAAAAGGCCAATTCAACCGATTGGTTGAGCATATTTTCCAAAAAATAATTACACCCTTGTTAAAACTTTTTTTGGACATCAAGTTATCTAATTATGTTCAGTTGGTGCTCTGACACTAAAATATGTCAACAATGATATGGTTACCTTACAAAAGTTGACCAAAAAGAGTGATTTCGTCAGCAGTGATTTTTAGCATGCCAACTTTCTCAGTGGAAGCTAGCTGAAGGGCATTCTGTTCGAACCACAGTGACATCTAGAGGTTGTTTTGTGCATAACATGTCAACCAAACGGTAGAGCTGGCTGAATCAGATGGAGTTAAACTTTCTTTTTTTTTTTTCAACAAGATATCAAGACACAAAATGTGCTCTACCAAATGGTGGCGCTGGCTGTTAAAGGGTTGGCCAGTTGTGGCCAACATTGTTGACTTGTGACCCCTTCTCACACTTTGCAAACGTCAACAGATGCGGCTTTCACACCAGCGCTTTTCCCTTTCTAGCTCCTAGCGAGAGCTTTTCTGGTTCAGCTCCCGTTTCCCTTTTCAGCTCCCACTCTGTTCACACTGCCCAGAGCTGCCGAGAGATTTTCTCCCACAACAACGGGGGGGGGACTGCGTCGGGTCGACGATCGTGTTGCTTTTAATCATACGAAGCCAGATTAAATTAAATAACGACTTCTCCAACCTTATACTTTTCTCCAGAGTGCCGTGGTTCATTGTTTATTAATGTGTTTCAGCATTTACCGACCGCTGCAGTGCTGGCTGCTCTTCAACGGGAGTGTATTCTCCCGTTAGCTCCGGGTTAGCTCACACGGCTCTAAAGTATTCACTGTCTGACTGTCACACAAGCAGCTGATACATATCCCCAGTTCCCCTTAAGTGAATGTGTGTCAGTCTGAATTGACACTGTTTGGCATCACAACGCTGTTATGAAAGTTTCTCTGGTATAACATGGGTGATGTTAGCATAGCAACCGAAGCTAAACGGACTACTTGCTAAGCCGTTTTCTCCAGGCACTTTTTACCGGCGTATTTTTCATTATGATTCTACTTGTGATAGTCGGACATGACAACCTGTACAGCCCATGTATTAATTCCATCCGATAGCTGCTATAATAACAAACCAAACGTCTGCCTGCTCTCCACAATGATCAATAACAGCGAACGGATGGTCAAAGTAAGGTTTCCTGCACGCCTCGACGTAAGAGACGTAAGCGACGCCGCGTCATAGCTCCAAAGCTCTTGCCTCTGGACCGACAACTTTTTGGAGCTGGAAGTGAACCGCATTCCGGAGCTATGACGCGCCGCCGCTGCGGTGTGAACAGGAAAAACCGGCGCTTTTCAGGCTCTAGCTCCCAGCAGGAGCTGGAAAAGCGCCGGTGTGAAAGGGGCAAGAGAGGTGCTAGAATGAGTCCTAAACACAGAAATGAGTCAGCCTTTTAGCAGATTTGGGTCCCCTCGTCTTGAAGTAAATGGTTTTTTGAATATGTTTTTGGTTCAATGCGGTAAATGGGGCCTGTCGTTAATACAGGCTTAGGGGATTTACACGTGTTGTTGTACGACATAATAAGTCAGTAAATACCCCACTGTTGAATCTGTGAAGATTGTAAGTGTCTTTATAGAAGCGGTTGCTAACAAGTGACTATGTGAGACTACTAGACCTCATCAGGCCAAACACTAGCTGCATTTAGGTTAGTGGCGGTGACGTTCAATCCTGTGACCGTGATGTAGTTTGTTTATAGCATTACGTTAGCTATTTGCTTCTGGTGATTGCATTTATGCTTGAACTATACTAAAAGTGGTGTTAATATGTGGAGATGATCCCGCTGAACAGAACTTGGAAGTATCTTTAATGTGTTGGCCACAGATCTTACTTTTCCAACGTTCCAAAATCCAATGGCAAATTTTCATGACTTTTTGTTGAGGGAGCCTTTGAGATGTTAACTTCCGGGTCGGCCTACAATAACACGTCATCACTGCACTATGATCAAGGCTGCTGTATAGTGTGGAAAGCAGCTTCTGAGCATTGATTGCTTTTGTGCTTTGTACATCCAGGATAAGACTGACGCACAGTGTTTGGACGAGAGCCACACCCACCTTCATCATCGATCCACTTCAGTGTGATGGGCTGCTGCTTGGCAACGCTGCACAGCATCCTCACCTCCTCGCACAACTCCACAAACGTTAACGTGGCTGCCAAGTCGACGATCAACATGTCCCTGACACACACAAACACACACACACACAAAATATCAAGATTGAGTCACTTTGTCTGAGTGGGCCAGAGATCAAGAGATCCCACAGGGGATTCCAGTGAGTCAACAAAAACAATGAGGACTTATTTCACTCTTGTTGAATTTAGAGTAAACTTCCACTATGATTTCATGTTGTAGCCTAAGTTAGCGGTTGATTATTTTAGGTCAGCAGGGGTGTCCAAACTTTCTTCACTGAGGGCCACAAACAGAAAAATATACGAAGGGCTGGGCCCCTCACTAGAGGTGAGGATATTGCCTCATAAGTTAAGTTATAAGTTAGCAAAATCAATCAAATGTATGTCAATTATGCTTGATACTTGAATATGCTTAAAGAAATAAAACAGCCTACATCACAGCTCTCCATCATTTGTGTTTGATAGAGTAAAGGACGGAGGAGAATGTTGTCAGGGTTTAAAGCAGAGTTGATGACACTCTGTTAGTTAATGACACTGGGCATGTCTGTGCTGGCTCAGTCAGACTCAGCTGTTTACCAGCCTGCACTGAGCTGAAATGGCCCATTCAGAATATATTAAGCAGGTGCATGTTACCATCCAGAATTGTGGACAAAAGGATAAAAGGCACATGATTATAGAGTGGTGCAATGATAACGTATTTTAATAGGACAACCCAAAGGTCATTTGATTTTGGAATATTACAGAAAAAAAGATCTCAGGCAAACACAAGTTTAGGATTTCAAGTTTTGTTCAGCAGGATAATCTCCAAATAATATATTATATTCAGCAAATATGCAATAGCCAATGGCTATAAGCAAACTACATCACGGTCATGATTAGTCACCACCGCTAAGCTAAAGGTGGCTAATGTCCTGCATGATGGCGTTTAGAATTCTTATAGTAGTCTTATTTAGACACTGATTTGCAACCGTAGGTTTCTTTTATACTGGGGACGCTGGGGACATGTCCCCTCCACTTTTGGAAATGGCCATTTTTGTCCCCACCACTTTGCATCAGGATCATTTGTTAAAGGAGAGGTGTCATGCTTTTCCGGTTATTACCCGTCCCCTTGTGTGTTATGAAGGTTTTTATGCATGTAAACGGTGTGCAGAGTCAAAACCCTCAAAGTACAACCTGTAGCGAGTAAAACTCTAACACAGAAAATACCTCCCCAAAACGCCTCGTTGGAGATACGTCACTGTCCATTTGATTCTTCCGGGTACGGCATGATCTCATGCGGTACCCGGAACAAAATGGACCAATCCGGAAGAGCTATGGCCACACCCAGCGGCGCTGGCCGCACCCTCTGCCAGCCTAACATTTACTGTTGGAAGCTCTGGTTCAGTTCACAATCGATCCAGTCATGCCAATGCCAAGGACCTGTTACCTGAAATGTGAGGAGAAATCTGAGCTGTTTGTACCTACAAACCTACCGACGGAAGAACCACGACGAAGTCAGTGGTTGAAATGTCTGTTTAACACTGTTCCTTCAGAGGTTCGAAGAACATTACTGTGTGCGCGGCATTTCACAGACGAAAGCTTCCAAAACATTGCCCAGTTTGAGGCCGGATATGCACAGCATTTGAAACTGAAGGACGATGCTATTCCTAGTTTGTTTGGACCGTTTGGAGCAGGGGAAGATTCGGGTACACAACCTGTAAGTTTGCATTGTTATTTGTGTATTTATCAAACAAGGTATCTACCGCGACTGTTTAACACTAGAACCGCCAGAGGTTTTTGTATACCTAAAACCGCCACCTGGGTCAAATTGACCCGCTATTAGAATGCATTGATTTTCAAGGTAAAATGTTCTTTTATTGAACAGTGAGTTTTGATCGCACAGGAATGAAACGTATACCAATAGAATCTGTGGACTCTCAGCTTTTCATATGACAGGGCTCGACATTATAAATGGCCCGCTGGCCCGGAAGCATTATTTAGACACCCCGGCCAGCATAACGTACTTTCAACTCGCCCCACAGCTGTTTGCTGCAGAGCGCAGCACGAGCAGTCTCCCGTGAGCGGCAGCGCACTCCTTCACTACAGACTGTCTCTATCTCTCTCTCTCTCTCTATCTATAACTATCTATCAATATGTCTATCCATCTATCTCTCTCTCTCTCAATCTATCTCTCAATCTATAAGAAACCGCAGTAGACAAAAGGCGTTGCTATAGCAACACGTCATGTTTATATGAAAAGGGGTGGGGTCAATATGACCCGCTGGGCGGAAATAGGTATAAATGGCAATTATTTTGGCGATTTCTTCAATCTGACTTCATATTGACCATTTTTAACAACATAGGGTGCTACATAACACACTTTCAGGAAAAGTCACGGACTGGGAGACTTTAATATTTTATTGAAAAAAAGTTACATACAATAAAAAACAGCTCTGGGTCAAATTGACCCGATTGGCGGTTCTAGTGTTAAATGTGTAAACGTGTGTCGGACTGCTAAGCCATTGACACAGTGCTAACTGTGCTAACTAAGTTGCTAGAGTTTCCATATATCAACTCTAATATCAGCAGATGGCCTTACATACATGTATCTCATAGCAGGAGAATGTCTGCATTCACACACGAAATACTCATAGACAGTATACTCCGGGTGATTTGCCGTACGGTCAGTCGCGAAACGTAATTACATTATAGCTGGCGTTCCTAGCGTGTATGCTACCGAGCTAAAAAACGGAGCTAGACATTAGTTTGCTCGGGAAAACATTGTTATTATGCCAGCTACAATGAATGTAGCAGACTACCCGTATAAGATTGCAATTGTAAACATGTTCTTGATAGTATAGTATAGTGTAGTAGCCTATAGCATATTACACTGAACAACTAGCAAACGTAGGTTAGCATATTAGCTGGCAAGCTAACTGTGTTGATTAGATAGATAGATTAGATAGATACACACTCCTACCACAACTACTACTAAAGAATCTAAAACAACTAAGTTTCTCTAATATTTTGTAATTTGCATTTGATTTCGTCCAACCAGATCAGGAAACTCCTGGCGTATCTGGCGGACAACACACACACGGGATGACCCACTCTGATGCCTCGTCCTAAAAAGCCCCGGCAGCCGCTTACAAAGCTGCGATAGGCAAGATGCCGAAAACGCCTATAAGGGGAGGAATGGATGATATACAGTGTATATATGTATATTTACGCATGTTCATTTTGTACATTTCTAAAAATAAAGTTTGATGGAAATACTTAGTGTCCTTTCTTCCCTGAATTATTTGCTCCTATAACATATCATTCATATATAGCAAACCATGATTTGATTTCTCATCAAACAGTAGTAGTTTATTACAGGTAAAAATAACTTACTCTTCTATAACAACAGTTGTAGGTACAGTTCGGTTCGTTAGCATATAAAATATACGGCTGTACCGAGGCCATTATAAGACTGTTGCTCCGCTGAGAGCGAGCCGAAAAAAGCACTGTTAGACATGGGCGGAGCCTCTCTGGTGGTTGACTAATCAGAACAGAGGGGCCGAGCTGACCAATCGGAGCACACTAGGCTCACAGGGAGGGGGGGGCAAGAGCTCCAACGAGTCGTTTAGTGGAGAGAGTGAATACTGCTGAATACACATACTTTACAGAGATGCTGTATGCGAAACCAATGTGAGTTTGGAAAATTGCACAGTATAAATCTATTTTAGTATACCTCAACAATGTAATTATGATCCGTGGAAATGGCCATGACACCTCTCCTTTAAAATGTTTTGAAAATAGCGTGCACAAACAATATTACACTTTGGTTTATTTGCACAAGAGAACATGTCCAACCTTAGGACTGGTCTCACTTCCTGGGTGTATTTCTGGTGACCCAAGTGGTGCAGTTTGGACCTGTGACACGTTTCATATTAGTTATAATTGAATAGAGAATAGTAAAGCAATTGTTGCTCCCACTTTGCAGCAGCATAGTTACTGCAGTAGTTGTCAAAAAAAGTATTGTAAGTATCCGTATATATGTATTGTTTTGAGGGAACAGAAACATAGAAGCTTCAGATTTTCACCAGTTTTACATATTTTATGTAGTAGAACAAAATGTGAAAATCTCTTCAGCTTGTGTTAACCACAGACCTTATTTCAGGCATCTAACCAAAAACATGTTTAAAAAAACATTGACTTTGAGACGAGGGAGCTTGGAAGTGCTAAAATGCTGACTCTTTTCTGTGTTTAGGACTCATTCATGTGCCATATGGAGCTGCATTTCAGTTCAGTTTGTTCGTCATAAGAAGTCATACTGTCCATGAAACTGATTTGTAACATGCAGGTTCATGCTCACGTTTCAAAGTGTTCATTTGTCCAGTGTTTGCACATCAGAGGATTACAGCAGTGGACAAAACTCCCACATGGTTCACATTTCATGTTAAGATAATTGTGTCCTGGAAACTACACATGTAACAGCCAGCCTGGAGGTGTAACATGTGTTCCAGGTAGAGAGGGTTTACAGAAGGGTGTTATCAAGTGGCACTATGGGATGTGTAGAGTTTGGGAGTAGTCATGTATTTTACTTAAGTGAAAGTTGAAATAGTACAGTGTAAAAATATTTTGTTACAAGTTAAAGTCCTGCATACAAAATCTTACTTGAGTAACTAGTAATTCATTTTATTAAATAAACGTAGTAGAGTAAAAGTACAATATTGGCTTGCAAAATGTAGTGGAATAGAAGTATGAAGTAGCATAAAATAAATATACTTTAAGAAAGTACAAATACCGCAAAATCGTACTTAAGTACAGTACTTGAGTAAATGTAGTTCAAAACATTACACCACCGGGGATGTGAAGGATATAATATGTTTGAAAAGTGACCCATTGACCCATACCTAGGACTAAACGTGAGCACATCTCAGCCTCTGCTGCTTCACTTAGGACCATTCTTTAGTTCAATATGTCTCGTTCAAGTTCCTGTTAGGAAAAGGGGGCCTTGCTGGAAATATCATTTACATACACTATGCCCTCATTAGAATACTGAGGCTGTAAAGCAGACAGTTGGGA